GTCACCTTCAGGCCGGAAGAGGCCCTCAGTCCACCAGTTGAAAAGCCCAATTATTGCTCCACCTTTGCAGGCAACAAAGCTGTGGCATAGTTTAAAATTGTTTGTACTTTACAAATAATACAAATACAGCTGGTTTGCTCTAATTTGTTTAAATAATGAGTTTATCTTTTGTTTTTCTCCTTCAGGGATTGCAGGGACCAAGAGTGAGTAATTATCCACACCTGCTTTATTATTCTTTGCAGAATATAGAAAGAATATATTCGTAAAACTTGTTTTTTTAGGGGTCTCCTGGTCCTCAAGGGCCACCTGGACCACCAGTAAGTACTTCTTTTTGTGTACTTTTCACAAGAAAAAAAATTTAAACCTGGCATTCAGTAATACTTGAGCATACTGTTCAGGTGTTTTACAAAGCATATTTCTATCAATAGCTATAGACTGAAATTACGAGTATTCACTGCATGTAATTACAATTAAAGGAAGTGTTTAGGTATACATAGCCATATATACAGTTTTCATTTTTAATACTTTAAAAATGCGTCAGGAGTCTTTTGGTAGCAATGACAGCCTGAGGCCTGAAACCACTTGTGATTGGTGCTGCTGCTCAAACTGTAACATTTTCATTATTTTAACATCAATTCAAAAGGATTTGACACACACTGGCATCTGTTTTGATCAAACAAAATTAACTCAGTATATACTTTAACTCCACAGTTGTTTGCTGCATATAACCAATATCAGACCTGAGTTTCTGTGGAATAATATGCTCAGCCAACGATCATGTTAATGTGGTTTTCTTAGTGGATCTCAAGAAATCACTCAAAACACATCTTTAAAAAAATGGTTTCAATGTAAAATTTAATTTAAAAACTAGTATATACTGTGAATAAAAGGAAACCAATTTGAGGAATAAAAACGAGGGATAAAAAGTGTGAGCATAATGTGTTATTTAAGCGATAATCTTTATTGTTGGACCTGCTGTAATATAATGAAATCGCTTACAGCTGACGGCTCTTCTTTGCTGCGTTTGATATGATTAATTTCGTGTGCGTTCATGGCTCATTTCCTGTGCGTTCATTAATGTGTTTCAGCTTATCTGCATATTTAGTGAGAACGGAACACCACAGCCAGCACTCTAGATTAGGATTTGCAGAACCGCTCATGAACACACACACACACACACACACACACACACACACACACACACACACACACACACACACACACACACACACACACACACACACACACACAGAGCTGTGTCCAGCTATCTATATGAGGACATTCCATTGACTTTCATTAATTTCTACAGCCTGACGCTGACCTTTTACCCTAACCTCATAGGTACATACCTGACCCTAAACCTAACCCACACCCCACCAGTGGCATTTCCCCAAATGGGGACTGGGCTTAGGTCCCCATAAGTACCAGCCGGTCCCCACAAGTAGGTGTTTAGTCTAAAAATGGCCCCCATAAACAGTAGTAGGAAATACCGGCACACACACACGCATTTTGACTTCTGCTATAGAAATATAGACCTTTACAGTGTTGTATAAAATACCACAAAGTGATACCTGAGTAAAAGTACAAGTATCTTACCAAAAAATTACTTTGGTAAAAGTTAAAGTCTCTTTTAGGAATATTACATGAGTAAAAGTCTTAAAGTATCTGATATTTTTGTACTTAAGTATTAAAAGTAAAAATATTGATTTAAAATGAGCAGTTAGATTTTATGTAATGACATTTATCAGGAGGTGACCTCCCTCCAAAAAGTACAGAAATGACTATGTTGTATTAAAATAATTAATTGATGTTAAATTTAGGATGCACTATTCTGTTTCAGTTTATATACTGTACATCTATCAAGGCTGCACAAAGCTTTTCTGCAAAATGAAAAACTATCTGAGGGCTGCGGCCAAATGCAATAATATAATTCATGAAATACAAATACTTCTTAAGTACAGTCCTTTTATTTTAACGATTATGTCCTGCTGGAGTGTGACATGATTTGWTTGTGTACAAACTAATACAGTATCAGAATTATATATATTTATACTTCTCATTCAACCACAATTAAATTCACTCTATCTAGGAGGCACAGTTTATATGGATAGTATTTATTTTTTACAATAACAAGCTGGAATAAAAACAAGCAAAATTGAAGTAAAAGTAACAACTTTCTACTTTTTGCCTTTTTAAAAATGTAAGGAGTAAAAAGCACAGATAATTGTGTGAAAATGTAAGAAGTAGAAGTAAAAAGTAGGCTGAAAAATAATTACTCAAGTAAAGTACAGATATCCAAAAATTATACTCAAGTACTGTACATTAACAAAGTATTTGTACTTAGTTACTTTACAACTCTGGGCCTTTATCAATGTTCTTTTCTATTGTTTTCAAGGGTCTCCCCAGTTCTGCTTTGTTACTGGTGAGTATTCTTCTCCAGACATTCTAATTTGATCATTTTTTTAACGTGACCCGGTACAAACTGAAGCTTCTTCTGTGGGCAGAAAAATGAAGCTCTTGGTGCTGCTTTTGAAATCCTCCTCGATTCTCATTCTCCTCTAAAACAAGAGGTCAGTTTTAAAGAAAAAAGCAATAAGTTATTTTATTTTCTAAACTGAAAGACAAACTTTCTGTGGCACAGAAATATTCTGTGTAACGACTAAACCGCTGTGTATTATCCATGCTCATGACAGAATTTTCCAAGCCTGGACCTGCCCATGTTAGACCAGGGCACAGAGGTCCTAAAGACCCTCCAGCATCTCAGCACGCTTGTCCAAAGCCTGAGGAACCCACTGGGAACCCGAGACAATCCTGCTCGAATCTGCAGAGACCTGTACAACTGTGAGCAGCGGGTGCACGACGGTGAGTCCTTTTGACCGGGTTCCTTGTTTCTGCGCTCGGGTTTTCTCTGACTGAGCCTGATTTTTCTTTCCCCCTTTTTTTTTCTGGCAGGTTCTTACTGGATCGATCCAAACCTCGGCTGCAGCGCTGACAGAATCAAGGTCGTGTGTAACTTCACTGTTGGAGGACAGACTTGCCTTAAACCCATCACAGTTTCCAAGGTTGGGATTTCTTTTTTATACCAGCTAAACAAACCAAACAAGAAATACTGGTGGATAAAGAAATTGAAATTTGTTTGCATCCATATGGGAAATGATTTGATTTCAGGGGTGTTCAAGTGCAAATAAGTGCCTATCTGTTCATTTTCTTACTTAGCTAGTTAGTTAGTTAGTAAGTACGTAAGTAAGTAAAATTTTATTTATAGAGCACCTTTCACAGAAATGGAATTCACAAGGTGCTGTACAATAATTATCAATATAGAAAGAGTTGATTGGCAGCAGGTGCTGTACAATAAACGAACACAGAGAAAAATAGAAATACTTGACAATTACATTACAAATGATGAAATTCCGGTCAATACATTCTAAAATTTTTGGAATAGTATAAAAGGATATATA